TAATTAAGCAATAAGGCCAAAGGGGGTGTGGTATATGGCCAATATACCACGGCTAAGGGCTGTTCTTAAGCACGACGCATCACTGAGTCCCTGGATACAGCCCTTAGCCGTGGACTATTGGCCATATACCACAAACTCTAGAGGTGCCTTATTGCTATTATAAACTGGTTACCAATGTAATTAGAGCAGTAAAAATAAATGCTTTGTCATACCCGTGGTATACAGTTTGATATACCACAGCTGTCAGCAAATCAGTATTCAGGGCTCGAACCACCCAGTTGAATGTTCTTTATGATGAGGTTCTCAAGTTAAAATGTACATGTACAGTATTTGCAGAAGAGGGCTAGGGTTAGGGTTATGTCAAGATTAGGGTTAGGGTTATGGCTAGGGTTAAACCAGGGTGTGGACATGGACCTAGGGTTAGGGTTATGTTTATGGCTTGGGTTAGGGTTACTGCTTTAAGTACAATGTATTACCATTTTAGGGTTAGGGTTAGTATTTTTAGCCTACTTTCTATCTTACTCCTCTTTGGACCAGTAAGGTGCTGAAGCTAAGCTCCGCCTGGCTCTCTCTTTGACCCAAGGTGGTTATTATTCTGTTAGATGAGCTCATGGTGAACGGGTAGGATATGGCCCTGTACATTTGATCATTTGATCACCATGTAACACCAAGCTGCCCCTATTTATGTTTTTCCCTAATTGTTGTATTCAGAACATTAAGGCGGAGAAAATGAGGAGATGGCTTCTGGGGAAATACATGTCAGGGACTGTGGGCCTATTCATGGAAACTGTGCTGTTTAACCATATGTTTTTCCAGTAAGTTCAGGGAGTGCCAGTATTTTGATTGCTTTTACAGACGGAAATAACCGCATTTCTTGCTAATCTGCAAGATAGGCCTACAACCACGCATCTTCCTGAGGAAGTACACTCAAAATGTTGTGTTTTCTCTATCAGCCATTATAAAAAAATCTGATGTTATTCTATGATTAGCAACAGATAAAGCATATACAATCAATCAACCATCCATACAGGAACATCTCAAATAAAACATGCCACCAAATTATAGAGAATTGTATTTTGTAGTTCATCATCTAAATAGCTCACCTTAAAACATTAAAACAATTATAATAACAAATGAACAAAAAGTAGAAACAGAGGTGTATATCCTTGTGATTAAAGGCAACAATCTGGGATATTTACTGCTGCAGTGCAATAGTCTTTTAAATTGAGAAATACCCATTGATTCTTGATGAATACTTATAAATTAAAATTAAATAAATACAAATCAATAGTTATAAAATCTAAATTAGTAATGTAAATGCATTATTACACAGGCAGACCAATTCTGATCTTTTGCCACTAATTGGTCTTCAGACAAATCAAATCAGCTCTCCTGGCCCTCCTGTAGCTCAATTGGTAGAGCATGGCGCTTGCAACGCAAGGGTTGTGGGTTCGTTTCCCACGGGGGGCCAGTATGAAAAATGTATGCACTCACTAATTGTAAGTCGCTCTGGATAAGAGCGTCTGCTAAAATGTCAATTGGATCACTAAACATTTTTTGGCCAATAGTAGGGCATCCTTGGCGAAATTGCCAACAACTGGATGTATCCGGTTTTCAGGGATACAGCCAATTCAACCTAGCTTACTTTTCCGCTGAAAACCGGATGTGAGAACTTCACTCAGGTGTTTTCTTTACACCTGCTACGTTAGGTTAACAATAGGACAAAAGAGCAGAATTTAGCTGCCTGTGTAAACACAGCCTTATGCATTTCATAAAGTAAAAGGTAAGGTTGTAGGTAGTTTCTGTTTCTGTTGTCATTTGAGTGAACAAAGTATAGCTTCAAAATATGTTTACAACTGTCAATTACATCAATGCGTCAATCTCATTTAATATATTTATTTGTAAGCACAAGAGGTAGTAGGCGTTATGTATACTGAACAAAATTATAAAAGCAACATGTAAAGTGTTGGTCCAATATTTAATGTGCTGAAATAAAAGATCACATACATTTTCCATATGCACAAAAATCTTATTTCTCTAAAATGTTGTGCATAAATTGGTTTACATCCCTGTTAGTGAGCATTTCTCCTTTGCCAAGATAATTCATCCACCTGACAGGTGTGGCATATCAAGAAACAGATTAAACAGCATGATAATTACACAGGTGCACCTTGTGCTGGGGACAATAATAGGCCACTCTAAATGTGCAGTTTTGTCACACGACACCATGCCACAGATGTCTCAAGTTTTGAGGGAGCGTGTAATTGGCATGCTGACTGGAGAAATGTCCACCAGAGTTGTTGCCAGAGAATTTAATGTTAATTTCTCTACCATAAGCCGCCTCCAACGTCGTTTTAGAGAATTTGGCAGTACGTCCAACCAGCCTCATAACCGCAGACCAAGTGTATCCGTCGCCAGCCCAGGACCTCCACATCCGGCTTCTTCACCTGAGACCAGCCATCTTGACAGTTGATGAAACTGTGGGTTTGCACAACCGAAGAATTTCTGCACAAACTGTCAGAAACCGTCTCAAGGAAGCTCATCTGCATGCTCGTCATCCTCACCAGGGTCTTGACCTGATTGCAGTTCGGCGTCATAACCGACTTCAGTGGGCAAATTATCACCTTCGATGGCCACATCCCGGTTTCAACTGTATCAGACAGCGTGTATGGTGTCGTGTGGCAGAGCGGTTTGCTGATGGTTGGAGTGGGGTTATTGTATGGGTAGGCATAAGTTACAGACAACGAACACAATTGCATTTTATCGATGGCAATTTGAACGCACAGAGATACCGTGACGCGATCCTGAGGCCCATTGTCGTGCCATTCATCCGCCACCATCACCTAATATTTCAACATGATAATGCACAACCCCATGTCGCAAGGATTTGTACACAATTCCTGAAAACTGAAAATGTCCCAGTTCTTCCATGGCCTGCATACTCACCAGACATGTCACCCATTGAGCATTTTTGGGATGCTCTGGATCGACGTGTACCACAGCGTGTACCAGTTCCCGCCAATATCCAGCAACTTCGCACAGCCATTGAAGAGGAGTGGGACAACATTCCACAGGCCAGAATCAACAGCTTGATTAACTCTATGCGAAGGAGATGTGTCCTGCTGCATGAGGCAAATGGTGGTCACCAGATACTGACTGGATTTCTGATCCACACCCCTACCTTTTAAGGTATCTGTGACCAACAGATGAATATCTGTATTCCAAGTCATGTGAAATCCATAGATTAGGGTCTAATGAACTTATTTCAATTGACAGATTTCCTTATATGAACTGTAACTCAGTAAAATTGTTGAAATTGTTGCATGTTTCGTTTACATTTTAGTTCAATGCAGGTGCAGGTATAGATGGTGGTGCAATTTAAGATTTTCACATTCCCAAAATGTGCAATCCCGCGCTCCGACCTGTGAAAGGCAGCAATACGCAACACAGCGTCTAGTCTGCCGGAAATTCACACGAAGAAGAAGAATAAGGCAATGAGAAACTGGTTCGTAAAGGAACCAGATAGGCTAGCTATCAGTAGGATGACTGATGCGCGTCACATGAAAACAAACATGTCTGACTTCAGCGTTTGAGGGTCTACATAATGAAGAAATCAGTACAATTTATCGTATTGGACGTGGGGGAAATTGGAAGAGTAGGGGGAGTCGGAGGAGAAATGTCATCCCTTGACAAGGCAAGAAATAAATGTATGTCAGGAGAAGTACTATCATAAGGAGTCATACTTAGAATACATAGGAGGAATGGCGGGAAAAGGAGAGGCAGTGGAGGTCTAAGAGAGATAGGGAGGAAGAGGGTGAGTTTGAGTCAGTAAAAAATGGCGGGGAAAGGGGAGATGGTTTGTTAAAGAATGGTAGGAAGTGTAAACAGAGTGAGTTGAAGACAGGAGGAGAAATGGAAGTGAATGAGGGCGAAGTATCGTAGGTGGTAGGTGTGGTGAAGTTCTCAGAGCCCGAGCTTTGCACCGAGGGTCAGGATAAAGATGAGTCTGTGACAGTAGGAGTGAAGTTTTTGGTAAAAGTGATTCCTTGGCTTTTGGCTGATCCATTTGTGGTTTCAGGGTGGGTGAAAAATTCCCGGTGTTTGTGATGCTCGTCATTTGGTGCAACGCAGACAGGTTGGTGTGAGTGGAGAAACAGAATAGTAATTGTCTGTTCTTTTGAGTTTTGATGTTGAGTCTTTGCCCGACAAAGTCATGTTAGGATATATAAGTTATCCGGTACGAGCTTTTGTGCCGATTACATTACGTTGTTACAGGTGTCAAGCTTATGGGCATGTGGCAGCAGTGTGTAGGAGGGAGGTTCCTAGGTGTGTAGAAGGGCATGAGACAAAGGAATGTCTAGCATTGGGGAAAGTAGTGGTATGTGTTAATTGTAGGGGTGCCCATGGGGCTCGGGATCCGAAATGTCCAGTGCGAGGGAGGCAGGTTGAGGTTTCCAGGGTTAGAGTAGTGCAGAAGTTGTCATATGCTGAGGCAGTGAAGAAAGTAGAGGAAGATGGGTCAAGGGGGAGGGATCCTGAGAGGAATGGTGTGAGTAGTAGAGATGTACCAGTACAGAGGGATAAACCAACAAGTGATATATGTTTCAGTAAGATTTGATTTTTGGCATTTATAGCAATGGTTATCAACTGTACTGCAGGGGTGGCAGCTGCAGAGAGGTATTTGGGTGTGTGAGACTTGACATCAAAAGAGTTACAGGGTCTGTTAAGTGGTGGTGTCCCAGCCCTTCAGGCTGTTGGCCTGAAGTAGGAATACATCATTTAAATAGTGGAGTATGGTAGTTATAAAAAGTATAATGGTAAAAAAAAAAAAATTGTGTGAGTGTAGTATTAGATGGTAGGGTATTTGTTGTATTTTATAAAAAATAAAAATAAATTTAAAAAATTACATTTTTTTACGCAAAATACAAGGGAGTTATGCTCCAGTCTAGTAGGTGGCAGTAATACAACATTTAGGATGCCAACCGCCGTTAAACCTCATCGAAGAAGAAGAAATAGCTATCAGTATTGATAAGACACAGCAGTCCTCCGTTTATTTGCCTAGCTAGCTACTGTCCGTGAATACTTCAAAATGTCATATTAGATTATCTTCATTGAGCTTTTGACTGAAATAGAAGTGTGTGCGTTCACAACGATACTGAAATTCTAGCCACGGAAAATTTGCTAACACGCTAGCTAGTGTCAACAAACTGCAAGTGACTAGCGGGTTCAAGTGACCCTGCCCAAAAGCGCGATGCTGGTAACCGTTTTCTGCGCGCCGAATGACCGCTCGGAAATCACATTTGCTCTTGATGTGTCTCCAGAGCTTGAACTTAGAGATTTTGTTGCTCTGTGTGAACTAGAATCAGGAATCCCTGCTGGGGAAATTCAGGTGAACCACTAGCTAAAACATGCTAACTAGTTGGCTTAGCATAAACGTGTTAGCAGCTAACGTTACATCTAGACATTTTTTTTTTTATATCAGCCAGTTAGCTAATTCAACATTTTAATTATCCAGACAGACTTGACAGTAGTAGCTAGCTAGAAATAATAAATTAACGTAGCTAGTCAGAATTAACTGTATTCTTCGTCTGGTCGCTAGCTAACGTTAGTTATTAGCTAACTTAGCTAGCCTATGATCATGTGTCAACAGTCTAAGAACACAACAACTTCTACTGACTCATATAACATTACCTGTCAAGCTGACCATTGGTTTGCTTGCCACCTTTTGATTAACCACCTAGCTAACCAATTAAGGTAGTCTGGCCATTATTTTTCGGCCAGTGTGGAAAGGGAATGTTTATTTTGCGTCATTCCCCCCCCCCCTTCCCTTTCCCCCTTCCCTTCCCTCTCTTCAGATCACATATGCAGAGCAGCCTCTGAAAGACCTGACCCGTGCTTTAGGGACCTATGGACTTAAGGATGGAGATGTGGTGGTGCTTAGACAGGCAGACAGAAGGCCACCACCAGCACAATCAGCCTTCCCAGGTAAGGTCAACGCTGTTGGGCGAGAATAGTAATGTGAAAACGATCCCTGCCCTGTTACAAGGTCTGAATTATTGGAGGAGTCCGGCTGCTCTAGTGAGAGTTTGGTGTGCCGGAGTGTTTAACAGATCTATTAACCCTGCACTTAAGTTTTCACTATTTTGGTTATTTATTGGTCCTCATTAATGGCTCACTATTTTATTATCTCAGCCCAGTTGTCAACCTGGCATCATCTCACTGAACCTGGAACCCACTGTCCTGCTGACACTCTTCTACCCTCCCTGTTTCTTCTCTCTACTCCAGGTATGCCACGTATTGACTTCAGTTCCATCACAGTCCCCGGCACCTCTTCTGGTTCCAGTCAACGGTTCACCCGTAGACAGCAGCAACAGGCCTCAACCTCACAGCAGCAGCGCTCTCCACCCCCTGCTGCACCCCCATCCCTACCGGGCTCCGCCTCCTCTCCTCAGGGTCTGGATGACCCTGCCTTACTGCAGCAGATGCTCTTGGCCAATCCACACGAGCTGTCCCTGCTCAAGGAGCGCAATCCGCCATTGGCTGAGGCCTTGTTGAGTGGAGATCTGGGTGAGTGGAAGTGGGGATAGGGGATAGCATCAAACCTTCTCTTTCGGTGTTTAATATCTTGTCATTATAAAGGCTCTGGTTAGATATCAATGCGACTAATGGGCCTTAAAGGGATACGCCAGGATTTAGGAAATGAAGCCTTTTGTCTACTTCCCCAGAGTCAGATGAACTTGTGGATACCATTTTTATGTCTCTGCATGCAGTTTGAAGGAAGTTGATAACTAGCATTAGCGCAATGACTGGAAGTCTATGGTTACTGCTAGCATGCTAGTAGATACCATAGACATCCAGTCATTGCACTAACACTAATTAGCATTGGCTGGCAAAACTACCTCTAAATTCCTTCATACTGGATGCAGAGACATACAAATGCTATCAATGAGTTCATCTGACTCTGGGGAAGTAGATAAAGGGCTTAATTGCCAAAATCCCAAAGTATCCCTTTAAGTGTTCAACTAGGATCTCTAACCATGTTTCTGACTGCCTCCCGTAGAGCGTTTCACCAAAGTGCTGTTGGAGCAGCAGCAGGATCGGGCTCGCAGAGAGCAGGAGAGGATCCGGCTTCTGACTGCCGACCCATTTGACATGGAGGCCCAGGCCAAGATAGAGGAGGACATCAGGTACCCACACACTCACACAGCCAAGAGGGGAAAGGGAGACGGCATCAGTCAGGGTCTCTTCTGGAAACAACGTGCTAGTTTACGTATTGACTTATGCCCTCTGTCTGAACTATTTGAGAAATGTAGGTATTCATGTACATGTTGCTTTCCTTACATAATCACACACAATTTGTACTTCAGGCAGCACAACGTAGAGGAGAATATGACCATTGCAATGGAGGAGGCCCCAGAGAGCTTTGGCCAGGTGGTTATGCTCTACATCAACTGTATAGTCAACGGGTACCATGTGAAAGCTTTTGTTGACTCAGGTAATGAATGCTATTATTTTCTTCCTCAGTGCAAAGCAAAGGCTTCTTTGACTAGGGCAATAGGGAGACAATTCAGTTAAGGGTTTGTCTTTTGTTTTGTGGTGTCTAGTATAGTTTGCCTTGGCTAGTTTTGACAGCTTTGCTCTCATGATGATATTCTAGCTATATCCACTACTATTCAGTCTTCCATATTTTACAATTGTCTGTATTTTGCCGCCCAGCTGTAAACCTTCTTGGCTCCTCCCTCCTGTTTCCCATTCTTTCATCCACATGCTCATATTCTCTCTACACCACCTCTGACATCTCTTGATAAAAAATAAAAAAAATATTTCCCTCCAACTTGCTTGCCCACACTCCATACATGTGCCCCATCTGTTTTTGCCTGCCCTTCCCTACTTCTCCTCTCCTGCCCCCCTTCCTATGAAATTAGCAGATATAATTGAAGTCTATCAAATAACATTACCTGCATCATTTCTAATCCCCCTTTTTATATATTTATATGCCCATACCATAACCCCACCGCCACCATGGGGCACTCTGTTCACTACGTTGACATCAGCAAACCGCTCCCCCACATAATGCCATACACGCAGTCTACCATCTGCCCGGTACAGTTGAACCGGGATTCATCCATGAAGAGCACACTTCTCCAGCTTGCCAGTGGCCCATTTGCCCACTGAAGTCGGTTACGACGCCGACCTGCAGTCAGGTCAAGACCCTGGTGAGGACGACGAGCATGCAGATGAGCTTTCCCGAGACTGTTTTTGACAGTTTGTGCAGAAATTCTTCGATTGTGCAAACCCTTCAGTTTCATCAGCTGTCCGGGTGGCTGGTCTTACAATATCCCGCTGGTGAAGAAGCCAGATGTTGAGGTGCAGGACTGGCATGGTTACACATGGTCTGCGGTTGTAAGGCCGGTTGGACGTGTACTGCCAATTGTACGCTCCCTCAAAACTTGAGACGTCTGTAGCATTGTGTTGTGTGACACAACTGCACATTTTAGTGGCCTTTTATTGTCCCCAGCACAAGGTGCACCTCTGTAATGATCATGCTGTTTAATCAGCTTCTTCATATGCCACACCTGTCAGGTGGATTGATTATCTTGGCAAAGGGGAAATGCTCACTAACAGGGATGTAAACAAATTTGTGCACAAAGTTTTAGAGTAAATGTTTTTGTGCGTACGGAACATTTCTGGGATCTTTTATTTCAGCTCATGAAACTTTACATGTTGCATTTATATTTTTGTTCAGTGTGCATATACACTGAGTGTACAAAACATTAAGAACACCTTCCAAATATTGAGTTGCACCCCCTCCCCCCTATTTGCCCTCAAAACACCCTAAATTCGTCAGGGCATGGATTCTACAAGGTGTCGAAAACATTCCATAGGGATGCTGGCCCATGTTGACTCCAATGCTTCCCACAGTTGTGTCAAGTTGCCTGGGAGTCCTTTGGGTGGTGGACCATTCTTGATACACACAGGAAACTGTTGAGCGTGAAAAACCCAGCAGCGTTGCAGTTCTTGACACAAACCGATGTGCCTGGAACCTGCTACCATACGCTTTTCAAAGGCACTTAAATATTTTGTCTTGCCCATTCACCCTCTGAATGGCACACATACACAAACCATGTCTCAAGGGTTAAAATCCTTCTTTAACCTGTCTCCTCCCCTTCGTTTACACTGATTGAAGTGAATTTAACAGGTTACATCAATAAGGGATCATAGCTTTCACCTGGTCAGGCTTTGTAATTGAAAGAGCCGGTGTTCTCAATGTTTTGTACACTCAGTGTGTACAGTGCATTCGGAAAGTATTCAGACCCCTTGACTTTTTCCACATTTTGTTACATTACAGCCTTATTCTTAAATTGATTAAATTGTTTTTTTTTCCTCATCAATCTACACACAGTACCCCATAATGACGAAGCAAAAACAGGTTTTTAGAAATTTGTGAAAATTGATATAATAAAAAAAATGGACATTGCATTTACATAAGTATTCAGACTCAGTACTTTGTTGAAGCACCTTAGGCAGTGATTACAGCCTCGAGTCTTCTTGGGTATGACGCTACAAGCTTGGCACACCTGTATTTGGGGAGTTTCTCTTATTCTTCTCTGCAGATCCTCTCAAGCTCTGTCAGGTTGGATGGGGAGCGTCGCTGCACAGCTATTTTCAGGTCTCTCCAAAGATGTTAGATCGGGTTCAAGTCCAGACTTTTCTCTGCGTTTGATAGCGGTCGCTGTCCGTGGTTCTGAAATATCATTGTGCTGTTGAATTGGTGCCTTTTCCTAGAAAATGTTGCTATGTGCATAATAGCAAAGTTAGCCAGCATATTGTTGTTGAGAACAATGCGGTGGAGGCAGCAGCGGAGTTGGGAGACGAGAAAACAGCCCTTGCCTTAATTGTCTACGAAAAGTGAGGAGAGGTGAAACCCCAACTTAATTAGGTCTCTAATCAATAGCCTAACTGTTAAATGTGCCTGGCTTTATAAATCATCCATATATACAGTGGCTTGCGAAAGTATTCACCCCCCCCCCCATTGGCATTTTTCCTATTTTATTGCCTTACAACCTGGAATTAAAATTGATTTTTGGGGGGTTTGTATCATTTGATTTACACAACATGCCTACCACTTTGAAGATGCATGTCTCTATAAGCTTGGCACATCTAGCCACTGGGATTTTTGCCCATTCTTCAAGGCAAAACTGCTCCAGCTCCTTCAAGTTGGATGGGTTCCGCTGGTGTAGAGCAATCTTTGTCATACCACAGATTCTCAATTGGATTGAGGTCTGGGCTTTGACTAGGCCATTCCAATACATTTAAATGTTTCCCCTTAAACCACTCGAGTGTTCCTTTAGCAGTATGCTTAGGGTCATTGTCCTGCTGGAAGGTGAACCTCCGTCCCAGTCTCAAATCTCTGGAAGACTGAAACATGTTTCCCTCAAGAATTTCCCTGTATTTAGCGCCATCCATTGCAGCTCCTTCAGGGTTATCTTTTGTCTCTTTGTTGCCTCTGATTAATGCCCTCCTTGCCTGGTCCATGAGTTTTGGTGGGCGGCCCTCTCTTGGCAGGTTTGTTGTGGTGCCATATTATTTCCATTTTTTAATAATGGATTTAATGGTGCTCTGTGGGATGTTCAAAGTTTCTGATATTTTTTTATAACCTAACCCTGATCTGTACTTCTCCACAACTTTGTCCCTGACCTGTTTGGAGAGCTCCTTGGTCTTCATGGTGCCGCTTGCTTGGTGCCTCTGGGGCCTTTCAGAACAGGTGTATATATACTGAGATCATGTGACAGATCATGTGACACTTAGATTGCACACAAGTGGACTTTATTTAACTAATTATGTGACTTCTGAAGGTAATTGGTTGCACCAGATCTTATTTAGGGGCTTCATAGCAAAGGGGGTGAATACATATGCACACACCCCTTTTCCGTTATTTATTTGTAAATTTTTTTGGAAACAAGTTAGTTTTTTCATTTCACTTCACCAATTTGGACAATTATGTGTATGTCCATTACATGAAATCCAAATAAAAATCAATTTAAATGACAGGTTGTAATGTAACAAAATAGGAAAAACGCCAAGGGGGATGAATACTTTTGCAAGCCACTGTATCTTAAATAAGACAGATCCCGAGTGTTTAATAGCCTACTGATTCCGTGAGCACCAAGCCTCACGCAGCCACATGATTTCACAACGTTTTTTGTCTTTGCTATGCTGTAATAAAGGCTTTAAACTTGTTTTTCGTTAGAACAGCTTCTCTGGGATTACCTATAATTTTAGTGTTTACATTGTTCTAAATTGTCAGACAAATTATATTTATAATAACAACCCTCCTTTTTCTTGATCTCCTTCTTCTTATTTGTATTATTATGATCATCATTATAATAATAAGTAATGTCGTTATCATTAGTAGGCTTAGTATAGCAGCCTTGTATAACCACCAACGAGCTCTAGGCCTAAGAGCGCATCCTGGTTAGTCTTAATACCATAACATACTTAGGCCTATATTTCAATACTTGTACAGCAGGGGGGTGGGCAACCTTTTGGCTCAAGGGCCACATTGAGTTTTTGAAACCAAGTGAAGGGCCACATACTATATGCGTGACAAAACATGTGAGGCCTTTATTCATTTTCACATTGACACGCAACTACTAGTGCACTGTAGGTGTACATATGCTTGCAGAACAATTCTACCCTTGTACCATCTCTACCCTTGTTTTTTTGTGAACACATTTTTCACAAAATTGATATAATTTATAACATCACAGACACAGTCAAACGCACACAGAGATCCTGCATCTCTACCCTTGTAAAGTACAATCAAACTTAGTCACAATATGCACATTTTAAAATATATATATTATATGACTGGAGATATGCAAAATATAACCGCAGATGTGAAGAAAAAAAAAAACTATTCTAAAATTTGAGTTAAACATATGGTAAGAGCATCCATTTCATTTGGAATGGTCTGTTTTTGAAAGCATATTAAGGAACAATTCTCATCTCCATTGTGAGCCATATTTACAGTTATCCAATCACCTCAGCCCAAATCTGACTGATTAGTTATTACCTGTATCCATGTTCATTGCTGGATAATTCTCACTGCATAACCATCACCATGAGAAAGCATAATCCTTGCCTACCCCAGTCACGGTTATTCAAGTCTTAATGTGAACAATGGGTCTGGTCACCTCTCTTGGCAAGGGCATCAAAGTCTGGTGTCATCTTTGATGTAGAGATTCTCAGAACAGCTAACAAGTGGTCATTTGTTAAATTTGACCTGTGACGGGATTTGTTGTAATTCATGACTGTGAACGTTTGTTCACACACGCGGACCTGAATAAAACAAGCATCCTTTGGGCGTGCTTTTTAATGTTTGGAAACGTTGTTTCATTCAGTGTGCCATAGCACTGGTCTATTGTTGCTGTTTTGTACTTCTCCTTCAAAGCACTGTCACATTGGATGTCGATGAGCTCCAATTGTGTGTCTGGTGGTGCTTTCTCACTGTCGAAAGACAGGGGGCATGATACAAGCTCCAGCTCAGTCTCAATCTTGGTGAAGTCTGAGAAGTGGTGGGAAAACTCAGCATGCAGGTTGATCAAAGTGCTACTGTATGTCTCAGTGCGGCACTGCGATGTGGGCTCGTTCAGTGCGGCCAGTGTCGGAAAATGCTCATTTATCTGGAGAACAACATAAGTTTGGCCTTGAATGTGTTCATGTTGGAATACAGTTCATGCACAAAAACACAATTTCCCTGCAATTTCACATGTAGATCGTTCAGATGCCCCAATATGTCCACACTGAAAGAAAAGTCGCCCAGCCAGTCTGTCTTTCAACTCTGAGAAGTCGTCAGCTTTACCAACCGTATCAAGGAATGTACCCATCTCCCCTCTCAGTTCCCACACACAGCAAAATACTTTTCCCAGCGCACATTTGAATGGTACAACAAGGCCTGGTGCTCTGCCTCTGTGTCATTGAGCAGCTGAATGAACTGATGATGGTTAAGCCCCCTTGCCTGTATAAAGTTGAGAAGTTTTACAACCACTTTGACAACATTTTCCAGCTTTAGCACACTTTTAGCATGTTTGCTTGAAAAATTACGATTGAGATTATATTCCTTAAAAACGTCAACAGTTTCTTGGCATATCAGCCTTATGTCCAATGTTGGTAAAAAAGTATTTTGCTGTCCATTCTTCTTTAAACACACGACATTCAGTGTCCACTTTTCTCATTTTCGCAGCACTCATTTTTCACGTCAAAAGTCATCAAGCATTGAAGTGGCTATGATGACTGAGCGCATTCTGAATCTGACTGTAGGCCCAAATACAGAGCGCGCTGCCAGGCTACAGCGCCATCTATTGGAGGTTGTTTGTATGTCATGGAATGAGTAATTCTAGGCCAAAAATCATAACTCAAATATAATAATATATTTAATACATTTAAAAAATGTCTCGCAGGCCAGATTGAAGTGCCCGGCGGGCCGTACATTGCCCCCCCTTGTACAGGCTACTGTATCTATCAATCATTCATTTGTTCATGAAATCACACAGCATATGAGTCATTCATGATTTTAAAATGCAATCAAGCATTTTAGTTTTGACAAACCCTTGAAAAATTAGCATAAACAATAAATCAACCGTTCCATTTTGGGAATTGCATTCACGCATGCATACGACTGTTTTTAGTCTTTGCAAAACAACAACAACATTACAACAGACTCTGGTACGCTTATAATGTAGTGTTTAAAGTGTCCCAAACAGTCACAATTATATTGTAATCTAACAGCACCTGTTTGGCACATGTAATAGGCAGCACTAGCTCCTTACCTTATTTTTCTTGACCTCTAGTATTTTCCACAACTAGTCAAATTTATTCCACACATCTGATTCCTGAGCAACCACTCTTGGACCGGACTCCAAAAGTGAGCCACTGAAGTACCAAAAGAGATGATCTATTGATTCTGTTTCTTTGTGGCAGTCTGTACAGGGCTGACTGTTGAATGCCCCATATATTGAGCATTCTTTTTGTAGCGAGAATTTTATATAATAGTTTAAATTGAAAAGAACAGATTGATGTGTCAATTGTTTTATTTTATTTTTTATATCAGTTCATAAACCCCATGCCATGCATGGTATTGGGACATAAACAATCTGTTCCCAACTATCTTAAATTTAATGCGGCATAGTTGTCAAACCTCTCGACCTTAAGTGAAACTGATACATTTTACGATTCGTACTAGTCATTCGTACTAGTCATTTTAAGCCATGCATAGTTTTTCATTGGAGGCAGACAAACCAATTAATTTATTTCTCTTTTGAGCATTTGCCTATTTCATTTTTGTGGCAGAGCTGCGATGAGTTGGTTATACTTTTATATTGAGCATACATCTCCATACACATTTGTTAATTGCTTGTGTGACAATTTTACCATCCTTATTTACAGTGTAATTTTTAAACATGATACCGTCCTTTATACATTTTTCCCCAAATATATTGGTATTTCCTCTATCAGTACATTGGAGTTTAGTCGTGTTATTTGCTGTAATATTTGTTCTGCCTCTTCTGGAGGATGAAATTGGAGTTGAATACTTTAAACAGGGATCCATTTTCAATTCACCGGAAATGGTTGGTTTTAATCTGTATAATGGCAAAAAGCCCCCCTTTTGAACATTGGATGTGCCTCTCTTAAGCCTTGTTTTGTTTTTCAAATCCGGTTTGGGATACTGACTGTCCAAACAGCAAGTTACAAGTGACCAAATCGGATTTGTGTGTGTTCAGACAGCAGTCATTTGGTGACATCTACTCTCGTTGTCATAGTAATGACGGCTGTGTGCACAGTGGTGTAGGCTGATTGGTGGTGGTGCTCGTGCTTCCTATATCTCAGAAGTTATGTAACAAGCAACGGTGACAACAATGCCTGCCATGGATGTTTTCCAGTTGCTTTGAATGTAATAATCATAGTGCAAGAACACATTTAAAGCCTCAAAGGATAAGATGATCCAACTTTCAAAACTAGTCCTTTTTGGCTAGCCATAGCAGTCAACTAGGTAGCTGTTTAGCTTTCTAGCACATTCACTCATTTGTTTGTAAACAATTAACAAGCTAGTTAGCTGCCACAGTAGCAAGCAAGCAACAAGATATGCCAAATAAGTCTAAAAACAACTTGAGGGCAAATAAATCAGATTTGACCGTTCAGACAAGTCGAATGGCCAGGAATCAGATTTGTATCTGATTTCAAACCACCTACAAAGGGGGTTTGAAATGTGGCTTGAAATATCGGATTCCATGTGCTTTTTGGCTGTTCAGACTGCAGGAAAAAGAAACAGATATGCAAAAAAAAGGATTTTGAGTCACCTAAAACTGCCAATGTGAACAAGGCTTTAGTAGCCTGCTGGAAAACCAGTTTAGATATAATTTTGGTATAATGGAGGCTTTAAGAGGGAGGTTTAATGCCTTAATATTTATGTTTTAACCCTCCAAACTCATGTTCATTATATAAATATTCCTGTTTAACCTTTAACTGGTTTGCCATTCCAAATAAAAGTCGGTAGAGCTCTTCCTTTTATTTGTTCTCACCCCTCTCTCTCCCGTTGCCTGCTCCCGCTCATCCAGGGGCCCAGATGACCATCATGAGTCAGGCGTGTGCCAAGCGCTGTAACATAATGCGTCTGGTGGACCGACGGTGGGCCGGCATCGCCAAGGGAGTGGGCACCCAGAAGATCATTGGCAGAGTCCACTTGGGTGGGTATAAGTCATGTCTCAGAGATGACCTTTCCTAAGGATGCACGACATGGCAGTGTTTTCCACAAGCACATGGAGTAGCCAGCCAAATAGAAAAAGTTTCCAGACAGGCCCCCCCGGGGTTACGAAAGTTTTGGTGCCCTCTGGTACATTCTAATGCTAGATTGTATTTTCAACCAGCAACTATCAGGAAAGAACACTGATCAAATTTTTTCACACTTTTCCAATGTTAGTTTCACCAGCTGTTTTACGATATGAAATAGCTTAAACACTGTAAAAACTTAATTTTGACTGCACTGGGCCTTTAAAGAATCCTGTAAGAGTCTGCTGACTTCCACAGGCTTCAAGCTTCCTTTTAAGAGGTACACTATATATACAAAAGTATGTGGACACCCCTTCAAATTAGTAGATTCGGCAATTTTAGCCACACCTGTTGCTGACAGGTGTATAAAATTGAGTACACAGCCATGCGATCTCCATAGACAAACATTTGCAGTAGAATGGCCTTATTGAAGAGCTTAGTGACTTTCAACGTGGCACTGTCATAGGATGCCACCTTCCCAACAAGTCAGTTCGTCAAATGTCTGCCCTACTAGAGCTGCCCTGGTCAACTGTAAGTGCTGTTATTGTGAAGTGGAAACGTCTAGGAGCAACAATGACTCAGCCGCGAAGCCGCTGTAGCGCGTAAAATCGACTGTCCTCAGTTGCAACACTCCCTATCGAGTTCCAAACGGCCTCTGGAAGCAACGTCAGCACAAGAACTGTTCGTCGGTTGTTTCATGAAATGGGTTTCCATGGCCGAGCAGCCACTCACAAGCCTGAGATCACCATGCGCAATGCCAAGCGTCGGCTGGAGTGGTGTAAAGCTCGCCGCCATTGGACTCTGGAGCAGTGGAAACACGTTCTCTGGAGTGATGAATCACGCTTCACCATCTGGCAGTCCGACGGACGAATCTGGGTTTGGCGGATGCCAGGAGAACGCCTCCTGCCCGACTGCATAGTGCCAACTGTAAAGTTTGGTGGAGGATGAATAATGGTCTGGGCTGATTTTCATAGTTCGGGCTAGACCCCTTAGTTCCAGTGAAGGGAAATCTTTACGCTACATCATACAATGACATTCTAGACGATTCTGTGCTTCCAGCTTTGTGGCAACAGTTTGGGGAAGGCCCTTTCCTGTTTCCGCATGGCAATGCCCCCATGCACAAAGCGAGGTCCATACAGTAATGGTTTGTCAACATTGGTGTGGAAGAACTTGACTGGCCTGCACAGAGCCCTACCTCAACCCCATCAAACAACTTTGGGATTAATTAGAACGCCAACTACAAGCCAGGCCTAATTGCCCAACATCAGTACCCGACCTCACTAATGCTCTTGTGGCTGAATGGAAGTAAGTTCCCGCAGCAATGTTCCAACATCTAGTGGAAAGCCTTCCCAGAAGAGTGGAGGCTGTTATAGCAGCAAAGGGGGGACCAACCCCATATTAATGCCCATGATTGTGGAATGAGGTGTTCGACTTTTGGTCATGTCGTGTATTTCTTCAGCTATCTGCAATACAGGTATGATTGAAGAATTAAGCAGGTGTTAAACATGGGCTTTGCTACACAGAAAGCAGCAGTTGACTACTCCATTGTCAACACTTTGATTAAATCAGTAAACCTTTATCAATATCTTTGAAAATACCATATACAGTGCTGTGAACAAGTATTTGCCCCCTTTCTGATTTTCTCTATTTCTGCATATTTTTTTATACTGAATTATCAGATCTTCAACCAAAACCTAATATTAGATAAAGGGAACCTGAGTTTACAAATAACAAAATAAATGTCATTTATTTAATTAGCAAAGCTATGCAACACCCAATTCCCCTGTGTGAAAAAGTAATTGTGCCACCTTTAGCTGCAATGACTGCAACCAAATGCTTCCTGTAGTTGTTGATCAGTCGCTCACATCGCTGTGAAGGAATTTTGGCACACTCTTGCATGCAGAACTGCTTTAACTCAGTGACATTTGTTTTCGGCAGGCATAATGGGACCCATGTCGTCCAAAAAGTTATACTTTTGACTCATCTGTCCATAGAACGTTCTTCCAAGTTTTGATGATCATCCAGGTACTTCTAGGTGCTTTTTGGCAAACTTGAGTCAACCTTTTGGACGAGATGGGTCCCATTTATGTCTGGCGAAAACCAAACACTGCATTCTACAGTAAGAACCTCATACCAACGGTCAAGCATGGTGGTGGTAGTGTGATGGTTTGGGGATGCTTTGCTGCCTCAGGACCTGTACGACTTGCCTTAATAGAAGGAACCATGAATTCTGCTTTGTATCAGAGAATTCTACAGGTGAATGTCAGGCCATCCGTCTGTGAGCTGAAGCGCAGCTGGGTCATGCAGCAGGACCAATGATCCAAAACACACAATCAAGTCTACATGAAAATGGTTAAAAAGCAACACATTTGAAGTTATGGAATGGCCTAGTCAAAGTCCAGACTTAATCCCATTTGAGATGTTGTGGCAGGACTTGAAACGAGCAGTTCATGCTTGAAAACCCACAAATGTCACTGAGTTAAAGCAGTTCTGCATGCACGACTTGGCCAAAATTCCTCCACAGCGATGTGAGAGACTGATCAACAAGGACAGGAAGCATTTGGTTGCAGTCATTGCAGCTAAATGTGGCACAACCAATTTTTTATTTTTTTTATTTCACCTTTATTTAACCAGGTAAGCCAGTTGAGAACAAGTTCTCGTTTACAACTGCGACCTGGCCAAGATAAAGCAAAGCAGTGCGATAAAAACAACAACACAGAGTTACATATGGGGTAAAAAAACATAAAGTCAAAAAATACAACAGAAAATATATATACAGTGTGTGCAAATGTAGCAAGTTATGGAGGTAAGGCAATAAATATGCTATAGTGCAAAATAATTACAATTAGTATTAACACTGGAATACTAGATGTGCAAGAGATTATGTGCAAATAGAGATACTGGGGTGCAAAAGAGCAAAATAAATAACAATATAGGGATGAGGTAGTTGGGTGGGCTAATTTCAGATGGGCTGTGTACAGGTGCAGTGATCGGTAAGGTGCTCTGACAACGGATGCTTAAAGTTAGTGAGGGAGATAAGTCTCCAGCTTCAGAGATTTTTGCAATTCGTTCCAGTCATTGGCAGCAGAGAACTGGAAGGAATGGCGGCCAAAGGAGGTGTTGGCTTTGGGGATGACCAGTGAGATATACCTGCTGGAGCGCAGACTACGGGTGGGTGCTGCTATGGTGACCAATGAGCTAAGATAAGGCGGGGATTTGCCTAGCAGTGATTTATAGATGGCCTGGAGCCAGTGGGTTTGACGACGAACATGTAGTGAGGACCAGCCAACAAGAGCGTACAGGTCACAGTGGTGGGTAGTGTATGGGGCTTTGGAGACAAAACGGATGGCACTGTGATAGACTACATCCAATTTGCTGAGTAGAGTGTTGGAGGCTATTTTGTAAATGACATCGCCGAAGTCAAGGATCGGTAGGATAGTCAGTTTTACGAGGGAATGTTTGGCAGCATGAGTGAAGGAGGCTTTGTTGCGAAATAGGAAGCCGATTCTAGATTTAACTTTGGATTGGAGATTCTTAATGTGAGTCTGGAAGGAGAGTTTACAGTCTAACCAGACACCTAGGTATTTGTAGTTGTCCACATACTCTAGGTCAGACCCGTCGAGAGTAGTGATTCTAGTCAGGTGGGCGGGTGCCAGCAGCGTTCGATTGAAGAGCATGCATTTAGTTTTACTAGTGTTTAAGAGCAGTTGGAGGCTACTGAAGGAGTGTTGTATGGCAATGAAGCTCGTTTGGAGGTTTGTTAACACAGTGTCCAATGAAGGGACAGATGTATACAAATGGTGTCGTCTGCGTAGAGGTGGATCTGAGAGTCACCAGCAGCAAGAGCGACATCATTGATATACACGGAGAAAAGAGTCGGCCCAAGAATTGAACCCTGTGGCACCCCCATAGAAACTGCCATAGGTCCAGACAACAGGCCCTCCGATTTGACACATTGAACTCTATCTGAGAAGTAGTTGGTGAACCAGGCGAGGCAGTCATTTGAGAAACCAAGGCTATTTAGTCTGCCAATAAGAATGCAGTGGTTGACAGAGTCGAAAGCCTTGGCCAGGTCGATGAAGACGGCTGCACAGTACTGACTATTATCGATCGCGGTTATAATATCGTTTAGGACCTTGAGCGTGGCTGAAGTGCACCCATGACCAGCTCGGAAACCGGATTGCATAGCGGAGAAGGTACGGTGGGATTCGAAATGGTCGGTGATCTGTTTAACTTGGCTTTCAAATACTTTCGAAAGGCAGGGCAGGATGGATATAGGTCTGTAACAGTTTGGATCTAGAGTGTCACCCCCTTTGAAGAGGGGGATGACCGCGGCAGCTTTCCAATCTCTGGGGATCTCAGACGTTACGAAAGAGAGGTTGAACAGGCTAGTAATAGGGGTTGCGACAATTTCGGCAGCTAGTTTTAGAAATAAATGGTCCAGATTGTCTAGCCCAGCTGATATGTAGGGGTCCAGATTTTGCAGCTCTTTCAGAACATCAGCTGTCTGAATTTGTGTGAAGGAGAAGCGGGGGGGGGGGCATGGGCAAGTTGCATCGGAGGGTGCAGAGTTGGTGGCCGGGGTAGTGGTAGCCAGGTGGAAAGCATGGCCAGCCGTAGCAAAATGCTTGTTGAAATTCTCGATTATTGTAGATTTATCAGTGGTGATAGTTTTTCCTAGCCTCAGTGCAGTGGGCAGCTGGGAGGAAGTGCTCTTATTCTCTATGGACTTTACAGTGTTAATATTAATAATATGCCATTTAGCAGACGCTTTTATCCAAAGCGACTTACAGTCATGCGTGCATACATTAATTTTTTGTGTATGGGTGGTCCCGGGGATCGAACCCACTACCTTGGCGTTACAAGCGCCGTGCTCTACCAGCTGAGCTACAGAGGACCACACAGTGTCCCAAAACT